CCCACTCAGTGTTACTGTTCCCAGCGACCCCCCTCCCTTTCAGCAAAAGTCCGGTGTGTAAAGTCATTACGGGTAGACCTTTTTCTTTTGTTACGAGCCGGAGAGTTTGGGAACACGCATGGTATCCCTCCGTTCACAGAGTGGGGGGGGGGGGGGGGGGGGGGGGCAACCAGCCCACAGGTACATAATGACCCCCATTGGATAAGCCTTGGGGCATATATGCAAATTAAATTCCAAGAATACTAATAATTCTGAGAAGTGTAATGATATGCCAAGCACCAATCCTGCTCCCATCCGAAAGGAAGAAGAAAGTTTCACTTTCAAGAAGTTGTTCATACTGTTTGGATTGAAAAGTTCCTGAAAGTTGTGGAAACATGCAAGAGGTCAAACAATTGCGAACTATAGCTTCTTGCGCATTATTTTAAGCTACATCAAAAGGCGGCCCTCACTTTATCAAGTACCCCAACAGTACCGCCCTTTTACTTTGACAAGTGCCCCTTTCCCTCCTGATAAGTACTATTTTCATCTCTAATGAGTGCCCCTTTTCACCTCTAATATATAACTTCCCCTTTTATTTTGACACGTACCCCATTTCCTTTCTAATAAATGTTCTCCTTTTATAAGTGCACCTTCCCATTCTCCTAATTACCTATTTTCATCTCTGATGAGCGCCCCGTTTATTTTAACATGTGCCACCTTTTCTTTTTACTAAGAGACACTTCCCTTTCTTTCACCTCCGATAAATGCCCCTATTACAATCTGATCTTTGTCCCTTTTCTTTAAAAAAAAAAAATGCAAATTTACTTTTATTATAATAACCCCTTTTTCGTTATCATAAGTGCCCCTTTTCACCTCTGACGATTTCCCTGTTAACAAGGATACGTGCTCCTTTTCTTTTCTAATTAGTGTCTCATCCCTTTCGATATATAAGTGTCCCCTTTTCCTCACATCATTAAACGCGCCCCTTTATTTTCGAGCGACTAGGGGCATGCAATTTACAAAGCTCAATCGCTACCCTCACTCGCATTTATAGATGATATATTTATGTTACTTATCAAAGGTCTTTTCAGTCTTCCGTTATTAGAATTTGCTTAAAACTCCATCAGGATTGGATATTCCCCCCCCCCCCCACTCCGGAGTCGGAATGACCGCATGCGTGTTACCAAAATGTCCGGTAATGAGGGGTACTTTTCACGCACCAAAGTTCGGCTCGTACATACACAAAATTGATTTTACACACGGGACTTATAGGGGTGTTTTCAAAAGGAGGGAACACGCATAATGCGTACCCTAAATAACACTGAGTGGGGGGGGGGGGGTATTTTCCTCTTTATAAGATGTAATTTTCGCATTGAGGTCCCACAAATCTTAACAATTTTCCTCGCTCGAATATTCATTATAATTCTATTTCTATTGCTTACAGCAAACCACTCACTCGTGTCACTCACCCATTTTACACTGTCGCTCATAACGTTGCTGGAATATTTTGTTTTACCCCAATTTATGGAATTATTGGCAGTTCCCACAAATAAAACCCCCCCAAGAAAATGCAATAAATTATCAACAATTCATTGAATCTCCCCCGATCCCCAACATAAAAATATCTTCTGTGTGCCCATGCCTTGAGCCATGATGAATGGGCCGTACAGAGGTTATTGCTAATTTATTGCGTTTTCTTTTTTAGAAATTTATTTGTGGGAACTGCCCCCTACCCTAGCCCCGCTGCATACAGTCATTGTTCAGTGGCAAAACAATGGCCTCGTAACTGTGAGGCCCCAGGATCAAAACCGTGTCGATGTGCTATAATAGTGCCCTTTTGTGGGGCATTACTGTCATTTATGACTTAAAGACGTAGGTCCCCTATTTGATAAGCATATTAGCATACTGAGAAAGTATACTATTATCTAGATCTATTAGGAACAAATCATTGTCAAAATAATTCCATAAATATTTTATTGGGGTAAAAAAAAAAATATTCCAACGTTATGAGCGACAGTGTAGTTCACGGCAACGTTCGTTTCACTCATCGCTACATAATATTCATCTACGTTATACTCTACGTTATATAGCTTTTTAATCTTCATATTCGTTTATACGACGTGTTTTACGAACGGTTTTTTTCTTTAAGCATCTTTACGATCATCTACGATCGATATACAGTTTACGGCTGCAATATTAATAAACGAAATCTTTGAACTCATATACGCAAATGTGATTGGACAGTGCGTTCCGACTCTGTGCAAGAAGCTACATTAAAGATTCAAAAGCATTAACATTGTTCATAAAAGAATTGTTGCACGAAGTATATTTCCGTATTCAAAATGAAAAGCAGAAAATCAGAGAAACTGGCCCGCGGGAATCGGGTAATGTAGTGTTAAGAAACACAAGAGCGTTCTGTCAAAGTGGTCAATTTGAATTTCAGCAGACGATATACATTGACTGTCTGGACGATAGTTGGATACTAATCTGAAAGAAAAAATGGGGCCAGATTGTGACCGAAATAGACAGGGGTAAAATCGTTTTGCGAGGACTTAAGTTTGAGAAAATGATGTGCACAATGACGTTTTAAGCGCAATGAATGAAGTCCGATTTATCTCGCAATATTGCATTTCTATTATGTTAACTGTTGTTGCAAATTAGTTTGGCATCTATTGGCAAGCAACCCCCCCCCCCCCCGAATATCCGCTCACAATAATAACATGGGGAAACTACTGAGCACAGATTAATACCAGGAATTACAAGATCATTTTTCATCTTCTTCTTCTCCTTGAAGGAGAAAGTCCGAATTAGACGGAGGACTCGAAGGAGCAGGAGGACCGGAGGACTCGATCGGGAGAATTAGGAGGATCGAGGAGCCGGGGGAGTAGAAGAATTCTCCTTCTTCACTTACCAGTCCTTTTCTTTTCCTCCTTCATCCTCTTCATTTCCTTCTCGGCTTCTCCTCCTTCTTATTCTTCTCCTTCTCCTCCTCCTTTCTCCCCTCATCCTTCTTTCTTATTCATCATTGATCTTTTTCCAGCTGTTACAGGAACCGCGCGCGCGCACTCAATCTCCCCTGTGCTGTTTAGAGAACGTACTGCTTATTATTGTTACAACTGTAATGTGGGTTTATCAGAATAGTTACCTATCTTGCGTAGAGTCGGCGCTATGACCTGGATCGTGGTCAGCTATTTCTCTTGATTGGTAGCCAGCCAGGGTCGTGCGTATTATGGACGGATAGAGATCATTGTTCGAGTGTGCAATCACATTTTGCTATCTTATTTCTCATTCAAAAAAGGCATATTGTTCTCATAAAATATATGCCAGCTCAGCACATACATGTATTATCGTTTAAAATCTGAGGAATTGTGTAGGCGAAACAGCTAGGCCCCCCTCCCCCCCCCCGGCCCGCGTGGCAGCACCCCTTATGATTATGAAGAGGCCTCGAATCTCCCCCAAAGCCACTTGAATAATATTCTTCTGACATACCCTTCTATTTTCAGCACCCCATTCTAAATCTCCCTCTATTTCTGTGTTGAGATGTTGGGCCGTCTCAAACATCATTAATAACCAAATTTTTATAACTTTCCACTTTCCATGATATTAGGTTCTATAGTTTCGTAAAGGGGTTTGTCAGAGTTTATGTATAAGCACAGGATGTGTGTACCAATGTAAATTTTCTTCAGAGAAAATGTAAATTTATTATTTTTTAGTACAAAAGATATTGGAGAGGTCCTAAAATGTAGGGTATGTCACACGTTTGCCAATTTTGCGTTGGATCAATTACAACTTTTTTGTTTTTTAATCATAGATCTAAATTTATTTTTCTCTAATTTGTATAAAACCGTCACTGATCTGCTTCTCTTTTAATACAGCCAACTTAAGTCAGTGTGGATGTCCTATTTAAGGCCCCACTAAACTGCTTGCACCCTCTTTATAACAATGCCTAAGTGGTGACTATTGGTGCCCCATGGTCCCCTCTTTCTTATGTTAATTGAGAGCCGATTTGATGAGATAACCATGCAGGGAGGTCTAACCCTCCTGGCCAAACTAGTGCAGATAGTATTTAAGTGAAAAAGATGAAAACAAACAATCTTGGTATCTGGACCTGAATGAGCAGGGAGACTCTTTCCAAAATTATCCAGTGTCGACAAAGTACCCTATCTAATTTTAAACTTCAGGCTTTTTTTGTTGTCAGCTCACTTTGTTTCATTCTTCTCTCATAATTTCTTCCATATCTTCTACTGCCCCCACCTCTCTCTCTCACTCTCTCTCCATAAAATCATAAATGTCTTGTAAAATAAAACTTGAACCAATGCCAAATAATTCCTTGTGTGTTTAGCAGAAGGGCATAAGTGCACTGTTTTACTGAACATGCACTAGTGCATATAGCAGATCATTAACATTACAATACCCATAATTCAGAAAGATGGGCTCATCTGATATGGAGTCGGGCTAACTCGGACCAGGGGACAACTCGGCCCAGATGCAAAAACGGTTATTTTTTGCATGTTTAGGTTTAGTGTTAGGTTTAGGGTTAGGGTTAGAGTTAGGGTTAGAGTTAGGGTAAAATGACAAAAAATGACAGTTTTTGCTGCAGGGCCGAGTTGTCCCCTGGTTCAAGTTAGCCCGGATCCTCTGATATTCACATAATCAAATTACAGTTACAATCCATTGCCACTTTAACAAAATTAATAGCTAGATAGATAGAGCAATCCCTGTTAGATTTAAACTAAATTTATGATGTAATATTTATAGAGAAATCATAACCCTAGAAGCTAGTAACCAGAATTTGCTCCATGGCAAGCATGTGGTCATGTCTTACTGGGCAGCATTTCACAAAATCGTCATAAGTACAAGTTCACCGACATCCCATTGAAATACATGTTTTAGGTTTAACACATTTCAATGAGATGTCAGTGAACTTAAACTTAGGACGGTTTCATGAAACGATGCCCGGCTAGCCACAGGCAGGTATTGAATCCTTACAAGATCATATATGCACTCCAAACAACACAATTGAGAGATGTTGCATTAGTATTATTTTAATATTCCCCTTACAGTTAATGAATATTAAACTGATAAATTGATAACATTTTGTTTCATTAGTGCCAATAATATCCATTCGGGACACAAATAAATTGCTTATATGTAGTGAAATTGAATGAGAACAAATGCTGATATGCGTACTTATGTATACTTGTGCATCCTTATGGAAAATCCAATATAGGTTCATTAAGTAATATGCAAAGCCACAAATATATAATCATACGTAATTGATTACCTGTATATTTATTAAGCAAAACAAAATCCTATTTCTTTAGACAGGAAATAAAAAAGAAAAGAGCAATATAAAACATTTTCTATGAGACTTAATGATTAAATTTAAGTCATTTGCCCTACAAAATGGAATGTGTTTATGTGTCAAGAATAAAATGAAAATGAAATGTGATTTGATTGGGAATACAAAAAACATGATGTAATAATATATGCCCACGTGGATGCAGGGGTGAAATCCAAACATTTCCATCCATATATTACAAATGGGGAAGATAATTAATTTTACACCTCCTTTTCAGGTAGAGAATCATATTTTCAAATCAATTATGTAAACATAACAGAAATGAAGTCAACATCTATCTGCCATATATATTATATCACATTCAAAGACACCACAATTTCATGCACATCGCAGGGATGCGAACAAAGACTAACAGTTTAACGCACATCATCATTTATCAGAATGCATCATTGAAAGTACAGCAGCAGCACTCCATGAGCATCTAATCTATTTCTATGTACTAATTTAGCTACTTTTCTCATATTTTTCTCATATTCTTTATGAAAGGCAATATGTTGACTTGATTTACAATCTCCTTCATGACAAAATCCTGCAATAACACTACTTTTCTCCATTTTGTACACAAAGATACACAATATTTCTAGACCCCTTCCCCATAACAAAACAAAAACAAAAACAAAACAAGGGGGTGGGGGGGAGGAACACAAATAATTTGATCTATCTGATCAAATGCATTTCCATAGAACATGATATTGGTATATACGGCGTAATTCATGCTAGGCAAGGTGCACACCATTTTTGCTAAATAAAATCTTCCTGATTATCTTAAACAATCTAAATAAACATTTTCTGACTATTCATTAGGTCATATAACTTGAGTATTTAAAAGAACATGGAAAAGAGAAATGGAAGAAAATAAATGTTACTTTGAAATGAAAAAGAAATTACTTGAGAGACAGAAAATTCTTTTACATTTCACAAAATGTGATGCTGGGGCAAACAAAATTCAAAACAAGACACAGATTAAAAAAAGAAAACTTCTGACAAATACTTTTGATCAGAATCATGTAATTATGGATTATTTTACTTGTCAATCTGGTTGCACTTATTTGTCAACATGCTTTACAACATCTTTATATCGCTTGCCTAATTACACCTACCACAACTATCTGATGAATCCTGAAAGTACACTGTACAGGGTTACAATTCAAAAGACTATTAACAGAAATTGCTTCCTTTTCTTCTTTTCCCTTCATTTTGAAAGTTATTTGTTTATATGTCTGTTTTCTTTTCTTCTTTTACCAAACAAAATATTTTAAGTAATTAGTATTATAATTAGTATAAAATTCTACATACATACAATACACATAATAGACATACAATACACATCATAGTGGACATACATCCATATGGGTGACATTTTTCTCCTGCTTATAACAACTGTGCTTACCATACATAATTATTGTATCAAGCATTATGATTGTCTTCAATATATCCTTCAGTGATTACAATCAATGGAAACCAGCGATCAGTACTTTGATTTTCTTCTCTTTACCAGTCCCATGTTGCAATAACTCTTTGTTAGGGTCGCTTCGAAACATCTAGAGGCATCAAATGCTGCATGCATGATGCCAGTTCACCTAGATTTACAATGTGACCGTTTCATAATACATGTATTAGTATATTACACCTATTCAGGATAAATACGGTACCTCTTGATCCCAACAACACATACAAAATAAATGTTGCTTTTTCAGCAATTAGGCCTCATGCAATCCACTAGATTTTACTAAACTGCTTAATCCAAGAAATATTTTTGTCTACAGAACTACCAACCACTATAACATATATTTAACAAGTCGCAAAATAAAAAGGGGGAATCCATTGGAAATGAATTAAAACCAGGAAACTATATATCGATATCAAGCAAGTTTGAATTACAGTGCAATATACATGAATATTATATACTAAGTCTTCACAAATTCTTAACAACTTTGACAAAATTGTGAAATTGACAGAAATAGCCAGTGCTTTCATTTGCTTTTCAAAAATACCATAAGGAAAATACTGTAAATAAATAATTCTAGATCATCTTATTGCTGAAATCTGTGATTTAGAGTAAATGAATCCCCAAAATTTAAAGACAGTCTTCAGTTCTAGACATGAACATCAGTCACTGCAAACTCACATTATAAGCAGAGCTATTCTAGCTAACTGCATCCTTACCTAGTGCAATTTCAATCTACTTGTGTGTATTGTACTCTTCTATACTCTAGCAAGGTTTCTACTCTTACTTTTATTGGAGATTGAAAAACAAGGTAATCAAGTACATGATAGGGCTATACGAAATAAGATGAAAAAATAATTATTTTCAGGAAAAAGTCTGGACGAAGTATTTGCTTTGATATTTAAACACACAAACATATTTTCCATATCGGGTTTAAAGAAACATGTATCATCTATAAATATACCTATTTCTAACCATATTGCAACTGTCAAAACATATCTGAAACTTAACATTCATGTAATACCAAAACAAATCATGCCATACAACAGCCCGAACAAATCATTCTTCATTCATCCATATTCTACAACTACTGGTTTTTCTAGCACTTCCATTGAGTATATGCATTAACTTCAAATGTATGCATGATTCTAAGTTGCAAGTCTTAAAATACTTCTTTAATGTTCCATATAATGTTGAACGAGGGAAGAAAGGTTAGGAATCACCTAGCATACAAAATGAGGTTTAATGTACATTGTATTTGTCTGATATATACTCAACAAGAATTACTGATACTTGCTTAAGGGTTTGGAAATGCAATATCAGGTACACAAATCACTCAACATCGGTCAAAATAGTGGTATGTATACAATACTTTGTCTTTTTTCATTTGAATGGTAGAGCTGCGCAACTATTCATATAATCCTAAATGTATGCCTAGAAAAAAAACCCACCCTATATTGATGACCACACAATACATTCATTACAAAGATTATATACAATGCTAAATACAGGTACCTGAATATGAAGTGGTATGATTCTATGTGATATTATTGGAGGGCAGGGTTGCTATAATAAAGTATTGCCTCTCATAACATCATTACTCCTGTGCAGCTTGCAAGTCATCTTGTACTTTGGAAAAATCAAATTCTTCACCTGTTGCCCTTCGGTATGTGTCCAGGATATCATCACAGGTCGTCTCAAAGTGAGTCGTGGCATCAAAGGATTTAGTAATGAAGATCTGCAATGAATAAAATGGGATAGGTAGACTTTGGACACAGAATTCTTGAAAGATGATTCTTTACCTTTGGTCCAAATTGAAAGAAATTTGGCTTTGTCACATCCCACAGAGTAATTTTTCAAATTTTAAAGTATGCATTGGCATATTCAATCATCAAAATTGAGTAATTAGGGCCTCATGGCATATAAAGGAGGTGCTTTGGGAGGGCCAAAGCAATTTGGTATATTGGTATGAACATGAGATCCTACAATGCTCGAGAAGAAAATGCTAAAAAATCACTACCGGTACTTAAAAGCAAAATGGACTTTTAAGAACAAGATTCCAACAATAGATAATCCTAAATGGAAGAATACATGTGGCATGTCGCACACGGCATCTCTACTTACACTGTAGCTTGAGGCCACACTCATCGTAATGGGGCACTTCAATGGATTATTTTCATTTGATTTTCCTGAAATAATTCTCATGTTGTGATGATTGTGATACTCAGTAATGAGTTCATGATCCATGGAAATAAAATGATAATTACTGAAAAGTATATACATTGGTGCCGGTTGTAGCTTTTCATAAATTTAACAACTGTCCTTCAAACCTTGATCAGCAAAAAACATCAACACCACACAAAAACACTTGCTCACCTGGTTGTCTTCTCCACTGTCTAATGGCGCCTCCTGATCATCTATTGAAATGAACTTCTCTGTGATAGGCCCAAGAAGATCCAGACCTGGCTTCAGCTCTGCTTCTGGGTTATTAGTCTCCACCGTGGTAGCAACAAGAGCGATGTACCAACCCTTTTCCGCAACGTTGTGGGTTTTTGACACCATCAGTACATAGATGTCTGCAGTGGCAAACAAATACAAAAACACACAGAAAATTCAGCTTTGTATAGAACAGCAGAGGAAAAGTACAAGGATGTCATTGATCTTATCCATGTAAGATACCCCTTTCCTTCCCTTCTATACAAAAAGATTAAAAGTAATCACAATTTTGTTTAAATTTTGTTTAAATCACATACGCATTGAAAATGTTGACTTTATATAAATTCACAATCCTGTCGAAGAAGGCATTTCATCTGGGTGTTCATACACACTGCAATGCGTATATGTGTTTCTCCAGGATGTGAGGTATAAATTTGACCAAAGTTTCTTACTCCTTTTTGCCCCGCAGAGCGAAACCATTTAATGCCCCCTCGAGCTGCATGTGATATATCAAATAATGAGTAACTCAACCAACCAGATTATGACTTTCATAGGCAATGAGCGAGTCTAATAGCAAGCGATCAATCACAAACATAAAAAGCAAAGACAACCATGTTCTACAGGATATAAAGTACATGGGGTTACTATTGGTGTCCACCTCATTTTAGGAGTCACTACTCTTGCATCATCACGGTACTATACTGTCACGATCTCGATCATTTTCCATGTTTTAGGGTCTGTTTTTATAGCCTAAGTCAGGACAGTCTTTGTTATGATAATTAGTTATCCCTTTTGTAGTGCTCTGTAGCCCTAGTTCTTTTCTTACTGCAATGCTAGGCATGCATCCAGATGCTAAATTCTTTTACGGGCTGGGCTGGTTCAGTCATACAGTTTTGGAATCAGTCTGCAGCCAGCGCTCACACTGAAAGGACCTTTGTTTCATGGGCTGGGGTAGCTCCGGGTAGGTCTGTAACCGATCATGGGTGATCATGCATGCCTACATTATAATCCAAGATGGCGGCCCGCATGTTTTGCCTCTTCTCTTAGACCAATATTATTAATTTTAAAGTCATGAAAAGACACTTAATATCAACAAACATGGTCTACAACAACTCCAAATGACAAAATAATCCCAGCCATGAATTCGCTGATTATTTTTGCCGATACCGATCACAGGTGCGAGGGTGTCGCTCCAATCTTCAGATCCGATCAAAGCCCCAACTTACAGGGTTAGCTCTGGGTTGCCACAGCTGTTATCCCTTTAGGTGTCAGCAAGTTTTGCTAGCAGTAAGTTAATTTGTTTTCTTATTTTTAGAGAGGATATTTGTTACCAGTTTGATACTTGTTTATCCTTACAGAATATAGAATAAGAAATTAGCAAATGATTTAATCTGTGAACTTGTTGTGCTATTGGAAGTATGCACAATAAGGACATACATATAGATAGTATTTTTGCATGTTTACTGAGTAGGCATGTTTTATATAATTATAATTATAAACAAATAACGTAAATCTCAGTGTATAAGACGTTCCTGTTTTTTGTTTTTTGTAGCAGACTCCATAGGCAGCAAGCCAGGTCTTTGTTCAAAAACCCACGTGGGGAAAGACCTTTATTTTACTGCGAGGTGCAGTTGAAGGTGCAGATTTGTGCTTGTGTCACAAATGATAGTAACTACCAGGTATGTTGTTTTTAAAACTAAAGATGACAGACAAATTTTCCTCTAAGTCCAAACAGAAATATGGCCATACAGGTAGCGTTGTTCTAGTTTCCGAGTGGTGAGTCAACACACCGTGTATGACGCACCCCCGACTTTCTTTTGGTATAATATGTTGACGGTTCTTCTGTAAATCCACAAGTTATACTTTTGTTTAGGGCGTGGCCTTAATATTTATGTCACTATGTAATATGTAGAAGATGGTAGTCAAATAGATTTTTGTGAATTTTCGGTGCTGATTACTGAAGTTCTATTTGGCTGTCAATTATCATAAATATTGGATGTTTCCTTTTATACGGCCGTTTTTTCCAACTTTCCATAAGACTCTTTCATTGAGTTCCCATATAGAGTTACAATTATTGGAATTCCACGGAGAGATTAGATGCCGTCTCGTTTTCATGGGTATCAGCAGCAGTCTCGTGTTTCCTTCCACCTTCGTCTCCTCATCACCACCATACCAATGCGTGACGTACGTTTCAGTGCAGTGGCCTGGTTGTCCTTGATTTTGCATAGTCAGTTACGTTACTTCAGTTTCTTCTAATTCATCAGTGACAGTTTGAAGAGACAAGTGATTTCAATTCAGCTCTACGGTCTTCGTCTACAGTATCCTTACCATTAACTCTCGCGACATAAAGTTCTTCAGTCTTGAACAATAACTATACCATAGTCCACGTCCATAGACTCTCCACATCCTTTGACTTTGTCAACAACTGATATTCCCTACAGGGTTTGATTTTGTAAAGGAATTCAGATTCTTGATTTTGTTGTATAAACAAGGGAAACGCTCTCGGCGGTCTCGCCTGCATAACGCAATTCAATATGATAAACCAGAACGTCAATGACGTAGCATTCATCCGCATTTCGCAACAACAAATATCGTAAATTTTATGTGGTACACTTTTGAACTGGTCAAAAAATAAAAATTTGATGCCCTGGAATGGACATAGTTTCATTTCATTTGCATAAAGTACCATAAATAATCAATGGAGCAAAATCTCACAATTCTGTGTAGAAGTTTAGTGTTCCAAATTTAGCTCTACCAGATAAGGCAAACCAAATCAAAATCGGTCAAGAAATGAGGGAAAAGAAGCAATTTTTTTAATTTTTGGTTAAATTTGCATAAATAACCATAATTACTTAATGGAGAACAATTTCAAAATGCTGTGTAGAAGTTTAGTGTACCAAAGTTAGCTCTACGATATAAAGCAAACCAAATCAAAATCGGTCGAGAAATGAAGAAGCCTTTTTTGTGATTTCGAATAGATTTTGCATAAATTAGCATAGATAATGAATTTCACGATTCTGTGTAGAAATTTTAAATCCCCCTCCTAGCCCAATCATATGAAACAATCAGAATCAAAATCGGTGGAAAAATAACGAAGAAGAAGCATTTTGAAAATCTTGATGTTGATGCCACAACAAAGTCTAAGTTTGTTGACCTTAAATGACCTTTGACCTTAACTTAGTGACCTGAAATTCTACTCACATGATTGGGGAGACTTGATAACCCTATAGTCTAAGTTTCATTGACTAAGAAGTTATACTTTCAAAATTATATCAAAAATTCAAAAACTTAACCTTAGGTTAAGTTTTCGAAGATGATGCTACAACATAGTCCAAGTCTGTTGACCTGAAATGACCTTTGACCTTGACTTTGTGATCTGAAATTCTACTCACATGATTGGGGATACTTGATTACCCTACAGTCAAAGTTTCATTGACTAAGAACTTATACTTTAAAAATTATATCAAAAATTCAAAAACTTAACCTTAGGTTAAGTTTTTGATGTTGACGCCGTCGCCGCCGCCGCCGTCGCCGGAAAAGCGGCGCCTATGTCTCGCTTTTTGCTACGCAGGCGAGACAAAAAAACTAGATGGAACTTCAACTGCGCGCATTTGAAAATGATGCCTCCGCCATGGAGCGATTTCACAAACCAAACCAGACACAATTTTTCAAAATCAAGTTTAATTGTAATCCATTAACAGGTTCTCAGAAGATCGTGATTACAAGCTATTTTTCATATACATGTATGACCCTTTTATATTTGACCTCAACACCCCAAACTCTAATCAGTTCATTAGCTCTGCAAGATACATACATGACATTAGTTTAGTGGTAATCCATCAATGGGTTCTTGAGATAACGCAATCACAAGCTATTTTTGCATAGATAATGCGCCGAGACTTTTGACCTTTGACCTTTGACCCAAAATCAGCTCATTAGCTCTGCCAGATACATACATGACCCAAGTTTGGCAGGAATCCATCAATCGGTTCTTGAGATAACACGATCACGAGAACGGGACGTACGGACGGACGGACAACCTGAAAACATAATGCCTCCAGCTACTTCATAACAGCCCGTTTAGACTAATAAGTCATCATGAGTATGTTGTAAATTTAATCCTTAATTTATTTTGGTGTACATCGTGACAATGATATGTTCAGACCAACGATATGTCCAGGGACAATGAAACTTAGACTGTTTAGAACTCTATAAATAACAAAAAGAACAACAATGAAAAGTAAATACATGTATGCATAACTGTAATACAAAATAACTATTTTGATTCTATTAAACCTGTTTGCTGGCTACAATTGGTAACTATTTTTATTTCCATCATCAAGTCCCTTACACATGCATTATGAAAAGAAAAGAAATAATTGTACCTGATTTTCGACCAACTTGGTTTTGTGGGATGATGATTTGCAGCGAGGTTGCCTCCGGTATTTTGGGGATTGTATGGTTGAGAAGACAGATAGCTCGCACAACTTGGGCGACTTTCTGGACCCTGTTAGGGAAATAGCTGGGGTCACCAATCACCATCTTACAACGAGCAGTTTCTCCTTCAGATTTGACTCCAACTACAACATCATTCTCCATCACTATTTCCTCAATTGGTTTGTCAAGCATGTATGTACCTCCGTAGATGGCTGAAAGTCTACAAATCATTAAAAAAGATAAATTTAAGAACTTATGATTTAATGATTTTCAAAATCATATTACCAGTACTTTAAAACAGTCAAAAAATGTATGTTGATCAATTGGCTTAAGAAGCCTAATGAGATTCCAAAAAATATTTGAGAAAACATCATTACACCTACATGAAAAAGAAGTTAAACAGGTAGTCTAATAATATGAATTATTGGCTGCCTGATGTCCCCAATTGGATTCCTGAGATCAGACATAAATATACAAACCCTTGTTTCTGTGTACCTGCATTTGAATCCAAGAAAGGATTTCTGTTAATAATAAAAGATGCCTTGTAAAAACAATTTAGTCATTGTCAATGGATCGTAATATCAAAAAAATCAAAAAAGCTGAATTTAGTTCAGCTGAAAAAAAGCTATCAAAATATTAGTAGTAATTTTCACCCTATTAGCTGATTGAAAGGCAGACTATAGGAAGTAGTCTGCATAGGCTGAGATGGATACATAACAAGATCTTCATATAAAATCCAACCACTGGTGCACAAGTTATCGCCGTAATGAAAGATGAGACGTACGGACAGTCTACCCGAAAACACAATGCGTCCGGCAACATCTTCAGTGGCAGAGGCATAAAATTGTTGATTTAACTGATCTTGTGAATGCAAAGCCGGTTTACATTTTTTTTCTCTCAATGTGCCTTGACATTGAGACTACAGTAAGGTTGAATATTTTTCTTCTCAAATATAGATGTTTCCATCAAAATATTGAAGAAAATGGCACGTATTCTGAAGTCAGGTTTAACTTTAAACCTAGGTTTAAGTCTAGTCTAAATCTCGCCGAACTCTCAGATTAAAACCTAGGTTTAACATTACGTTTCTGACGCATCGTGGCCAAGCCGAGAAGTGGATTGCGATTGATACCTCCACTTCTAGTTCTAGGCCGCCGTACTTACTTACACACGGTTCGAAAGAGGATTGCATAGTCCTAAAAAAAATGCCTAAAATTCGACCAAATAAGCTTCAATGTTGACCTTGGACTAGTTACTCTGCATCAAGAAGGTATTTTTGATCATTTTAGTATCCTTTTTTAGTACTTTTAATATTAATCAGAGCATTTTTATGATGTTCTGGAAGTTTTGACTACTCTGGGCAGAAATTGTAGAATTACTGAGTTTTGTATCGATTATTCATTTAATTTTTTTTTTTTTTTAAAGAAATAGATTAAAAGGAGACATTTTCAAAATGTTCATATCGCTTAATACATTAACCATACACATCAATGTTGTGGTACTATATGAACAGCACCAATAGTTCATTGATGTGCGTAATGAGGCCGCGATTGGCGGAAGGATACCAGAATAAAGCACTTTCAAGATGGCCACTTATACATGAACATTGTCTACAATGATCTCTTATTTATCCATTCATCTGATCTTTCAACAATCAACACTAGATTTTACAAAAGTTCCATGGGAAGTTCTTGCTTGTCATTAATTCTGTCTATTAAACATTTCAAAAAATGAAATGTAAGTGTTTGAATGGTGCCTGAATCTTACAATTCTTTACTCTATCATATGGGAAAGCTGCAGGCAAAAGCTGCATGCAAACTGGTAAGAGAGACATTTGCATTTATATATTGTTATTTCATATCATTTTCATGTCATATGTCCTGCTGGCAAATAAATCAACAAAATTTGTCATTTTGAAGGTTTGTTTCAAATGCTATTTTCCTTGTTCATCTTGTTCTCTAAAAGTCCCAAGACTGATTTTCCAGAAGTTTTTGAATATATTAATGGTACCTAATTCTGATGATTAAAAACAGGTTAGGTGCTCCACTAAAAAACAACCTTCCTCCCCCCTCCCCACAAAAAAAAAAAAAATAATAACAATAATTGATAATAAATTACACTCAGAAAATGGCACACTTACCTGGCAAATCCTTGAGGAAGTTCTCCTAAACCATACAAAGGGTAGATGTATGGAGATTTACCATATCTAGATAGGGAATCGCAATACAGAGCAATTCTCTTTACAGTCGGTACGAAGTTCTCATTTTGGTAACTGTTGGTAAACAAAAAAAAGTAATCTCATAATGGTATACCGGTCCGGTACATATATGACTTCAGAAAGAAGCAATATTAATGACAGTTACTTGATTCTAATTTCAAACATAATTTTTCTTATAAGTAGGCTAGAAAGGGGAATGAAACGGTAAAAACAAGCAAGCTGAAGTAAAAGTCTGTGTGTTTTTAAAATCGAAAGTAAGTTGACCATTTTAATTTTAATGCATCCACCCAGGTGTTAAATGGGTACCTGGTAGGATGCGACCGTCATTGTTGGTCAAACAGTTTTTGAGCATCAAGTAACGACTGGCTGGAATGCTCCCCAGGGAGTGGAGATAGTGCACACATTGTGTGCGGGCAAGCACCGAATCCAAGTGACCAGGGTAATAGTATATTTGTAAAGCGCTTAGAGACTTTGTATTAAGCGCTATATAAGGCCATGTAAAATTGATTTCATGTTGATCGTCCCCGCCCGCTTCCTTTTTGGGGGCCGCCTCCTATTTTTTGTTATTTGTTATTTTTTTTTTTTTTTTTTTTTTTTTTTTTTTTTGATTTTTTTTTTTTGAAAGAAAAAAAACATGAAAAACACTGCTAAAATGGCTCTATTTCTGATTTAAAAAAAAAAAAAATTGTCGGCGGCCATCTTGAAAAAAAATAGCCTCGACTGTCGGGGAAAATGTACCGAGCGGCCATTTTGAGCGGCCATTTTGAAATATCAAATATCAAATAACATGGTACACCCTCCTCCTCTTTTTCAAAAAATCCGGACGATCAACATGTAATCAATTTTACATGGCCTAAAAGCTAAATATTATTATATCCCTTATCGTAAGATTGTTGCATTAGGTGTGTACACAACAAGAAAAAGAATAGTTTTACTGTAAAAGACGTTTCCTGCCGACTAGATCGAAATAGTTCATTTTTATTGATGACGTCACGCATAGTACCTTTTTTTCCCTAGGGAAAAAAGGTACTATGCGTGACGTCACAATAAAAAAACGCATGTTCTTGAACTATGCGCTTTCCCAGCGAGCGCGTACATGATTTCAAAGTGCCTCTGCGCGGTCAACCCCTGCGGTGTCACGGCGCTCAAGCCATATGCAATTATTTACGCTGTGCGATAACTGCACTACACTAGCGCCAGCTAAACATTTTTACATCCTTCAATGTTTCATTTGAGCCGTGCAATTTTCTTTATTTCTTTTCGATCTGAATGTAAATGTGAATGTGAGTATAAGGTTCATATTATTACAGAAGTGTACAAGGAATAATACAGATGGAAGGGATATAAAACAAATATAACATGACTCATTCTTGGAACAAGCTAAAACTATTCGCACTCAGGAACATCATTAGTACTTTTCTCCCTCGGGCCGATGGCCCTCGGGAGAATAGTACTAGTTGATGTTCCTTCGATGCGAATAGTTTCAGCTAGATCCTCGAGTGTCATTGTATATTTGTATATTATTATTATCATCTATTCATATCATTTGATGTAATTTCCAAGCCATCCCCTGCAAATGATGGCACATTGTTTAGAAGTATTTACTCTCAGTTATGACATTTGCTCATAGGGGCCTAGTTATTGACAGTAAGTACTACAAATTACTCTTTAAATGTAAATTTGGTGTATAAGCAATAGGCTTGGGAGCGAGTGCCGAGTACCCGATTCTCAAATCCAGAACTGAGGAGTCGATTCCAATGTCTAGAGAGTCGATTACCCGAACACGTCAGTTCCGAAACTCCCAGACCCGATTCTTCGGCGCTGGAGTCGATTCCACAGCACCGAGAATGAGAGCCAACTCTCTCAAAGCAGAATGCATGCGATCTATGAGAGCGCTGATACACACATGTGTGTGTCAGAGTAAAACATATGTGCATGACATGACACACTATCTCTTAAATTCTCCTCATCCATTTCTTTTATTTATTTATTTTCTTCTTAAAGAATAAGTTTGACAGGTCTACATCTACTTCTCCCTCTCGCATTCTCGTTGTTATCAATTATCTTTGTTTTCAAAACATTTGCTGCATCATGTAGCCTCGTCTATTTCCGAGGAACAAATTATTATGTTCGAGTAATTCAACATTACAACAGGACTACAAATAATATCGACTAGTCTTCTTGATAAGACCAGCTTGTAAATTTGTAAATATAATTTGTCGACTCTGACGGCATTTCCTTTCTAAATCGTATATTTAACTGTTCCTAGTAATTATATAGTATCAGCATTAATCAAGTGATATTTCATTACCATGTCATACACAAACATGAGTTTTATTAGTTGATTATGAAGTTACAACAACAATGAAAAATGTCGTTTTGGCATTAGCGCGATCTCTAACAGAGGCTGAAAATGCAGACTAATATTCCCCTGGCCAAGATCTAGCGCGCACCGTTATCTTTTGTTTATTTCTATCAACAGAAAGCACATGGTTGTAACCATGGAAATGGAGTGCCACGCGATGGGGCTGGGGTCATTAATTGACAAAGTGCTTGGGTGGCATTGGGCGGGCGGTCATGTTAGCATGAGTTATTTATAAATGTCCTTTTGTTTAAAGCTCTTACTTTGTCTTTAAGGGCCGGGCTGGGCATGTTTCGGATATGATACTTCATTTATTTTAGGCAGGGAATTGGCCAGAATCTTTAGTTGTACATGGCAACTTCTTAATCTGATAATGATTAATGGATTGTTTACCATAATACTTATAGTGGAAATTATTGTTCTGCATTTCTTACATTTTAACAGTGCAAGTATGAGTTGATTATTCCATCATTCTACGTTGATGTTTAGAATTTAAGACACAATGTGTTTTTTGGGTTTATATTTTTGCCATGAGTTACTATTTTATTAATTTTTCAGCAGTGGTCATGTTTTTTTAATTCGATTCTGCGTGGAACCGACATACACAGTCAGTACATACAGAGTATGTGTATGGCCTTTTAGTGCATTGCAAATTTTACAGCCAGCGGGAGTCGATTCCGCTCGTAACCGAGGCCGAGAGTGGGAACCGAGAGTGGGAACCGAGATCGTTTCTCGTCAACAAGAGAACTGCCCAAGCCTAATAAGCAAAGGAATGATACAGAATAAAATCTCTTGTAATTGTTGTATGGCTAATCTCAGTGAAATATGGCTTTGCAAAGCAGTACTTACGTGGAGGTTAGGGTTCAGGGTCATGACTCTGTGCACGGCGAGTTAAAAGGCACTATAGCATAGCATAGGTTTGAGGTAGTGCTGTAGTCAAACGTTTAACCGTCCGGTATCCGACCGCCCATGGCGATTTCTGTTTTCAATTTTCAATTTTTTTTTTAAAGTTTCGATTTATGCCCCTCCACCTGGCACTATGCCTGGCAATGTCTCCCAGCTCAGTAATCGGTGTGATGACTTACCACTTGGAAACTAGAACAACACTCCAATTTGTCTGTCATCTTGGTTTGAAAGTAATCTTTGTAATAGATCTCAATATATATTCATCCAAGTTTAACACATGGTGTACCACAAGGTTCTATCCTAGGTCCTCTACTGTTTTTAATTTACATTAATTGATCTTACACATTATTCTAAAACGACATTGTTACTATTATTTGTGACTAGTTCACAAGCAAGAACCGGCGCCTTCAGTTAAATCACCTCGCAGTCCTTCCCGCTTTTTCACAGGCCAAAAAAACAACAAACAAAAAACAATTTTTTTTTTCTTTAAATTTTTTTATAAATCATTTAACCGAAAACCGTCCGGTTTTGACAGGCGGTTAAACGGAATTGGAGATATCCGTGATGTTACAGCACTAGTTTGAGGGTTACATTATGATGTATATTAATGGAGAGCAAAACAATTATCGGAAGAGGCATCGAGACATGAGCTACTCTCTTTCAGCCTGAAATCCAGGCTACTATCTATAGGGAAACACAATGTGTTGCAGCTGAAATCATGTAAGTGAGGCAACCATAAACTCGGCACTATTGCCTTACTATCTCACGGTCTGTGTGGGTAGGACTATCAGTGTCTACCAATTTACTTAAAATTTTAAAAAATAAAAGTTCTTACTCATCATTTATGTAGAGAGCCATTGCATGTCCAACAAAATCTGCTGTGTTGTGATCCAATCCAAACTTATGAAACACCTCAGCCATGATAGTTGTTTTGGGATCAAGTCCACTGAAGGTCTTAGGGTCCTCCTCATCAAAATTGTTCACAAACGTCACAAATTTGGCGAAGCGGCGCTTTTCAAAGATTCCCATCAGTGCTGTAATAGTAACAACAAAAGCAATGTAAACAATTCCTCAAGTGATATAGTCATTCACATTGATGGATTTGAAATAATATCAAAATCACAATAGATAAAATAATCATGATTATTGATAATACAAATAATTAACAGTGTCTAAAAATCACATAGGAACAACAATCAAAGTCATTCTCCCATGCCAAAACTCTGAAAGTTATAAAATTGAATGAAAAATTGCAACACATTTTTCAATACAAAAATCTTTGAAAATCTCTTGTCAATTATTTTAAGTCTACAACTTTCTTCCTTTATTTTAGAATGAAGAACCTTAGAAGACCCTTGGCTTTTCCCTCTTTAATTTTACTGCATTCTTATTCCCATCAAATTTTCTTTTTATTGATTGATTGATTTATTTTCATTTTGGAAGGGGTGGAGTTAAGAAGTAACTTAAGAAATAAATCAATTAATCTTGTGGTCATAAGTATCAAATGTTTAAGTTCAACCAAGTACCAACTTTAATTAGGGATGGGCCTCACAAATTTACACTGAATACATTTTTTGAAGCCCATCCATAAAAGACCAGTTCCACAAAGAATTTTTTTTTTTTTATATCAAGATGTAAAATATCAAAGTGTTGGTTTATACAAATTTCGGCTTACATGATGCCAATGCTTCCTTTTCAGAGGCAGGAATCTTGTGGATATTGCCCCCTTTCTTGAACACATAACTGCCTTCTACTGACTTGAATTCCAGGTAACGGGTGACTCCAGAATGAATTAACAACTTTACTAGTTGACCTGAGAAGAAAGGAAACGTGAATCTGATGATATCCATAATAAAGGGAAATTGTTGGGATTGCTGCATCAAGTGAAATAATATGCATCTATACATGACACTATGTTTACTACAGACAACTTCATAAGACAGATTTCTAACAATGTTATCTTTTTTTTCATTGTTTATCTTGGTGTAAATAATGTTCCATAGTATCAAACTTCACGAGTCAAGGCCATTTTTTAACTCAAAGATTAAAAAAAGAAAAGCTACAGCCTATTCTTACTAGGTAATCCAAGAAAATTAGATGAAATTCTAGTGGCTAATACCACCTACAGCACTGAGAAGGATAAAGACTGAACCTTGATTCACCCTAAAATCACTACAGTCAGATCTATCTGTTCACCGCTTACAGTATATGGCTCCCTTCATCACGTGCACATTATCTCAAGGTGTAAATAATGTATATGTATAGTATACTATTCTTTCATTGATTCTACCTAAAAAAAACCTCATCAATACTTGCACAATTTAAAACAAACAAAATACAAGAGTGCACTACATTGTAGCAACAAGTTGAAGGAAAATCCAACCTTGATAGCAAACTACTCTAGAGGAAAGCAGAAAAATCAGAGAGGAAGATCGGGCAAAATAAGAGAAGGTTTTAAATTTGTGAAAGTTTTAATTACTATAGGTATGGGCTCTTCAAATTAGCTTAATTGGTAATGTTTCTGTAATGTAGCGGCGGACAATTTTCCCATTAGTTCCAACACAAAAACTGACTCCAACGTAAATTTTTCAAAAATGAATGACTCAGGAGGGTCTTTTCTCGTGGGAGGACCTATAATAATATGTTATGCATTATATATTTTGAGCAGTGCCCGAGGGAGTGGACACTGAGAACAAAAAAACAGGAAGTAATGATAAAATCGTACACGACAAACTGGAGAGTTATCCCTGACTAGGTCAAAATCCACTGACCAACTGCTGATTTGTGATTAGCATAGACTTAGTGATCCCATATTTCAAACATTCATTACTTTCTTACTATTGGTCTGATTTCTTTCAAACTTTCGGCATTCTGTTTATCTTATTTATTCACTTTTATACAAATGAACTTATCACAAGGGTTGGTTTTCCCTTTAGTACATTATTGCATGCATTACCCCTACATAACTCTAGCATACTACCAAATCATGTAACCAAACAGTGCTAGTCCTTAGGCCCAAAATAAAAACTTGTTGTATTGCCCTTTGCGACGACCCAAAAATCTGAAAATCTACAGTCAGCATTTAAATTTTTAAATTTTTTTTTAACCGTTTTATTATTTTTTTTTTTAAAATGGGATATATATGCAGCCAAAAAAATACACAGGGGCGGAGGGCGGATTCGCCCCAGAAACACCATAAACAGCCACCGAAATAGGCCCAAAATCCATTTTCAGGGGCATCATCAAAAAAGAAAATGATCTCAAATCGCCCCCGTAACGATTACGAGCGGCCGCACGCTCTCATCTAGCATCGTATTCATTCATTTCTTGGTCGGCGCGCACATGCGCGCTGAATCTCCGTGTAAAATTGTATACACAAAAAATCGGTCGTAAAAAACTCAAACCATATTCCATACCTTACCTGGCTTACCATGTCGCACGCAAGTAGGCCAAAACACGTACATTTTCGCAGTTGCGAGATCGAGACGGAGCGTAGGGGTCGAGTTTTTGGCGGTCGATTTTGTTTTTGTAGATCATATTAGCTGAACCTAGACCACTAAACATCGCTAAACTGCAATCAACTTCCATCACGATTGCCGCAATTTAATAAAGTTTCCATGAATAGAGGTATGAAATTAGAGCCTATTTTGTGATTATTCACGCCATGTTTACGTAATTTTGATAATCATTTCTTCAAAGTAAAGAAAATCAGACAAAATCACCGTGACTGACACACATGGGCTCAATACAGTGCAGTGTCGCTGCAGTGTGTGTGGGTTGAGCTGAGCTGAGCTAGCTGAGCTCGATCTCGAGTCGAAGAGATTTGACACTTTGAAATTGCTATCTGTTGGTTTGCATCATTATTGCCGCGATTTCAATATAGTTTTGTGAATAGATGTACGAAACCTGAGCTTAGAATTAGTAAAAGTATTACTATAGATATTCATAATATCTTACAGAAAAATAGATATTTCATGAGCTACATACTCGATATTGAGTTCAGTTAGCCATCATTTTTAAATGAGACGTAAATTGTCATGCAGCGCAGTAGACTATGGACAGCATGCGGCAGCTCGCAGAGAGGAAAAAAAATCACGTGATAGGTACGCGAATATCACGTGATCTCAGGCCCGAGCATTTTTTTCTCTCTCTCTGCATACTGCCACCTACGGTCTACTGTGCTACATGACAACTACGTCTCGTTTCAAAATGATGGCTAGCTGAACTCGATATCGAGTATGTAGCTCATGAAATATCATTATTTCTGTAAGATATTATGAATATCTATAGTATTATTTGTCAAAGCAAATAATTATTTTACGGTAATTTTGTTGAATTGGAGTCCCTTGAAGTCTTACGGAATATTTTTTAATTGGTTTAATGCTTGCTCGGATGACGGTGTAGAGATGTAAACAAAACATGACTCGTAACTTCAGCTTGCCGTTATACACACATTTTTAGAACGAACGAAAGGCACTTCGATGTTATTTCAAGGGCTTTAAATTATTTTCCTTCATCAAAATATCAAGGGTAAACCATTATGTTGTGGATATATTTCGACAATTAAATTAATGCCTATTAGTATTACGATTTAATTGTAATAGTCTGATCAACATTTTAGTCTTGTGTGTGGGACTTTCTTGCTCAGTCTTCAGTGGGTCATATTTCCACTTCCGTTTCTGAACGCACTCGGTACCACGCACGAAGCATGATTCTTTTCTTGCAGCCTCATTTTGAGCGATAAAAACACCTACCATCAACTGAAACGATATCCGTTTATTTTTTAAAGCATCTTAATTTAATTCAATTGATTATTTCATTGTTTTGAAAGCAGTAACTGTCTTTTCCGTTGCATTATTAGAACAGCAACTTAGTCTAACTCCCGTCGCTGCATGCACACAATTTTTTTGTGTCAGTGCAGTGGTGAAAGTTTCGGGTACTCAGTCCCCGCCCGAAATTTTCAAGTCTAACCCGGGTTCCGCAAAACCTGTAATGACTCAGGCCTACTAAGGACTTATACTTTCAAAATTATATCAAAAATTCAAAAACTTAACCTTGGGTTAAGTTTTTGATGTTGACTCGTCACCGCCGTCACCGGAAAAGCGGCGCCTATGTCTCGCTTTTTTGCTACGCAGGCGAGACAAAAACTGAGAAATATCAGCCAAAAGAGGGCGGGAAAAATCACACAACAACAACAACATTCAAATTGAAAAATATCGGCCCAAAGAGGGCGACAAAAAAAAGTTTTAAAAAACAAAAACTTTTCAGACCGACCGACCCATGTTTTGGCAACTAAAGGGCAATACAACAAGTTTTTATTTTAGGCCTTATGTGGCAGATAAACAAGGTCAGGCTTTGTTCAGAATACACAACAAGCGTTACTGTTCAGCTCTTTTTAACTGTACAATTTACTGAAATATTCCACACAGGAAATTCAAGTATTGAGCACCCTGGGCAAGGTCTATTTTCTGCATGTGATATCAATAATCAAACACGTAAACTTGTAAACGATCTCCTACCTGAAGACATCAGCAGCTTTGGGATCATATCCACATTCCAGTCCCTTCCTTTTCCAAATTTATCATCTGATGGTTCTGGTTTGTTAAACTTTTTGAACAGCTAGTGTGACAAAAAAAAAGGATACACAAGAGTAAAATAACTCTTGTCAATAATGAATATTTTAAATATTGATGCAATCAAATAACTCTATATACATGTCAGAAATAAATACAAATATAGATTTTGTGGCTGACTAATGTTAAAGGTAATACAAAGTTTTGGGAAATTTTGAAAATTGGGTGAATAGTGATTCTTTACAATTTTAATATATTTGGTTGCCCCTGTGCAACGAAAAAAATACACGGTGGTGACGGGCGATTCGCCCCCTAAACCTCTGAAATCGCCACAGTAAAAATCAAGATGAGGGCGAAAAAAAATCAATATATATTGAAAAATCGCCCCCGCCATAAATTGACATTCCCTAATAATTGATAAATCAATTTATTGATGTGTCTGAGTGAAATCTCCATTCCAACTACCAACTCCAAAACTAGAAACTTCCATCAACATTTTAAAAGTTTTGTGATTGCAGCGGATCGGCGGTCGTACTGTAACTCCCAGCCGGCCAGGCCCCCGATGGAAATACGAAGTACGGTACATAGTAGTTTCGTTGCCCCAACAGTTCGCACACATTCACAATACACAGAAACTAGCTTAGATCCAGATTTGCCAGATACAAATCATACATGTTATCAATTTTTAGTACTAATATAAAAATACATATCCATTTATGCTAAATAATTCAAATCAAATCAAATCAAATATAATTAAAAAACAATGGGTAGTTACATCAGACAGGGGTGTCAAAGATGCTCCAGCTCCTCCGTAGTATTTCTGTCTGTCCATGTGCAGTACCTTTTTGCCGGCTACAGACAGCATGCCACTCAGTACACATTCCTACAAAAAACATGATCACAAGCATGATTAGTACACAATTTGAAACTTCTAACAAAATGATGTCATCACTTATGTATTTCTATCAGGTTTGAACAGAGAAACTGTACATACACTGTATATACACATGTATTTAAGGAACATGAGCAGCCACGGTACAAATCTCAAAGGAAACAAGGCTGATGTACAAGAGTTAAATGATCCGTTATCAAAAACTTGTACTTCTTGGAAATGACCACTGTTTAAAAGCAGAGGAGACTATATTCAACAAGATTTTGGGGCTACATCAACAGTCATGTCTGCAGTAGTACATGTAGCAATATAAATCTAGATGACTGTAAAGATTTTTACCCGTCTTCTACTTGTTCCTGATCATAATGAGATAACATTTTTACATGACAAAAACGCTGACATCTTTGCGATGTTAGTTCCGGCTGAACACGTAAAACTTGACATTGAAAAATCGTTCAGACACCCTAGCCTTGTAGGGTGTAACAATTTTTCAATTTTCAATTTGGGATCGTTTTTCACCATTTTTGTTGGATATGTGCATCTGCACATTTTACGCGTTGTCACCATGGTTTGGACTGAGCGGAGCGCACGCCTCCCTAATTAGCTGATCCAAAAAATGGGGGAGGGTACTTTCAAACTGTTATCGCGTGTGATCTCTTTGGGGCTAGCAAAAAATAAGTGCATTGATATTTTCCTTACGATTAGCCCGACATAAGCCCGGGGGGCGCGCTTCAGAAAAATGGCAAATTTTGGAGCTAGGATGCAAACAACATTTCAATCGCTGTTTTGAACTTTTGACCAAGATATTTTTAGAATTCCGGGGGCAGGCCCCTTTGGGGAATATGGAGAAAAACCTGCTCTTTCATATGACGACTCATTTATTGCGTTTCACCTTCAGGATCAGGAGTAATAAAAGGTTTGAATTTCAATTTGTTCACAAAATCACTGACCAATTTTGCATGGTTGCGCAATGCATGTAGACTGCAAAGGGATGCGTGCAATCTCTAGTAATGGGAAGGATTTTAGCACACTACATCGGGTGCCCGATCAGACACCCTAACCCTACCATAACTAATAAAATTTTCACCGCGAAATGGGGAAATTAATGTATAAATTTAGAGTTCAGTGAAGAGCACTCAAACTTCAAAGATCATGTGTTGATCCCTGGATCGCACCATCTTGTTATTACTGTCGTTATTCATTTGTAACGTAGATCTAGCTAGACAATCCTCGTTTGTGCGGATGATCCTTATTCTTGGACCAGCGCCCCTACATGGGTGCCAATTATGGTGAGACGATATCACTGTCATATTTCTTATTATCACTTAACTTAAGGCTAGCATGAAATCACTCATTGCTTGGTCTAGATGATCTAGATATGTGTTGTTAGTGTTACCACTATGATTTAAATATAGACTACCAAAAGGCATGCATGTCCGCCATACACAGCACAGTCACGAATACTGCATATAGCACACAGTTACGTGTACAAACAGGTCATTCCATGTTTTAAAACATCTCCGCCCATTGATACTTCACACGCCAAATAATGTCTAATTAGCAAGGGGTTATGGACATAATACCTTCAATCCAGTTCCTAGAATAATTGCATCGTAATCTTCATCCATTGTGGAGTGATTTTTTTCAAACCAATAGAGTAAACAACAAAAATGTGTTCAGTTTTCGCAGGTTTTCTTGTTCTTGTGTGCGCCTGATGACATCGGTAACCTCTGAAATATGCTGAAGACGCGCGCGCCCTCGCCATCGCGCGCGGGCCAGATCGAGACCGTTTATTATCCGTACATTTCCGTTTGGAAGCAAGTCAAGTCGACATTCACGAAGATATCAAAGATAAAATAAATTACAAAGAAATATTAAGCGTGATTTAACATTAATGGGGAAAATTCAATTAATAAAATTATAAGGCTATTCCAAATTGATACCGGTACGTCATTATTGATGCCAGTTCCTTTATTTCTTGATTTTTTTTTTGTGGAAAAGTGAAAGCAAAATCAAAAAGTGCATCATGTTTTTAGACTGTCGATAAAAAGGCTCGTAATAAAGAAAAACCAGGTATCAAATGGATAAACTATTCATTTTTTTATGAGACCGATGGGAAGAAATTTTATGGGATGATACTGTGATCATGTTACCTATACCTTTTATCGAAGTTTACTTAGAACATGGATGGACCTAAAAGATTATTCTGGGAAAAATGTGCTGATTAACTCAATTTACGAATTCTAAAGAAACTGTCTTGGAAAGAAATTCATATGCGAATAAATGTGATAAATAGGAAAGAGGACAAAAACCATACTTCAATTCACTTTAGAAAATGGGAGGTTTTGTGTGATATAAATACTTTTGAAAGAAGCAACTTCCCAGCCCTATATCCCAGCAGTCTTTGCCTTGTGTTTTTTTGTTCTTTTTGTTTTTATCTCTATCTCTCTGTCCGGGGAGTTTTTTCTCTTTTCAGAAGTAATACTTTTTTTTTTATTATTATTATTTTTTATTGACATAATTTTTTATTATAATATTTCACGAACCAAATCTTTTTTTTTTTTTTACTTCATCAGATAAAACGTTTTTGAAGAAAAAAAATGAAAATTTATTTATTTATTTATTTATTTCTAATCTTTTGACTTTTAGCCCATTCACCTACAAATAGTGGTCTTCCATGGGGCCCTGCATAAACATGAACATATTTACATCGTTTATAACGTTTATATAGCAGTTACAAAAATAATACTCATTTGCAAAATAAACATATATCATTAACCTAGTAAACAGTTATGTCAATAAGAAAATATTGATTAAGTCGCAATTATGTGAATAAGTCATGTTAATATTACAGAACATGCACTTAGTGTTTGTTCGGCTGAGCCATTCACAAATTACAACTTTGTTTAATCTTAAATGAAATGACTAAGTCTCTTATAATTGTTATTATTACTATAATTGATTCAAACGAATAAGGACAGTCATGATTTACGTTACTATCCTATTTAAAAAAAAAAAAAAACGTTTTGTGGGGCTGGGGGGGGGGGGGGGCGGTAGAATCGGCCCGTGGATCCGCGCCTGCTCCAACCCCCTCCAAAAGTAGGAGAACCACATTTGGCGCATTAATGTCCACCGGCACTTCCTGGAAAAAAAGGCCTTCTGATTGGTTAGAAGTTGGAGAAAAAGTGATCTGTCACGTCGTGAGACGTTGTGTATGCTTCGTTGCTGCACAATGCAGACGGTGGTCCGGTACTTCAGCAGTAGTACTTGCAAAGATTATCTCGAGTGTATAAATTGTGTTGTTATCAGGGGCGTCGCTAGACTTTTTTAATGGGGGGAGGGGGGTGTAGAGCCGGGCCACCGATTACCGACAAAACTAGTTCCCAATTACCGACAAATATTAATGCCAATGTCCCAAAGTCTACAAATTTAACCCTATAAACCGGGGGCCAGGAACTAAATTATTTGTCAGTTTTCCCCCACCCGCGCGAAACGATCCGTTGTACCGTTCTCGACTCTTAATTCTTGTTTCGCCCCTCCCGCGCGGAGCGCAGAAGCCAGAGGAGGCGGAGCGGGGGGGGGGGGGGGGGGGCAACAAATTAGGGCACTTTCTGGAAAAAAGGGCACCTACAAAGGGAAATCTCAAAGCTAAAATATACAATTTTTTGGACATTGGTATATACCCCTATATTGTGATTACATTATCAGGGATGATTTCAATATTTTTGTTATCTTTATAAAGGTATTGCTTAAGCATCATACTTTGCAGTTGGGTGTGATAGTCTGAAAATTCATTTGCGAGCGAGCGAGGAAAACAATTACGATTTGTGAGGTTTCGCAGTGCGAAAAATTACATCTTTTAAAGAGGAAAAACCCAATCCTGATGGGTTATAAGCACATTCTCATACGAAAAGACCTTTGATAAGTAACATAATTATAACATCTATAAATGCGAGCGAGCGTAGCGAACGAGCTTTGGGGGAAATTGCTCCTAGTCGCTTGAAATTAGGGGCACGTTTATTGATGAGGTGAAAATGGGGCACTTCTTACACCTAAAAAAGGGGTACTCACCAGGGATGAAAAAGGTACTTATGAGCACTTGCCTACTGGTGGGGGGGGGGGGGGGGCTTGGGGGCGCTAGCCCCTCCCCCCAAATAAAATTAAACCATGACTTATTTCCAATTCCATACAAGTCAGTTATGTATAAATGTTCGTGATATCACAATGATTTTCAACAAATGCGGGTTTCTCCATTCGGATGCAAACTGACACATTCCCAAATAGCCAAGAAGAGCATATGTTTTTAAAGTCACTAATGGGCCTATATAGTGGCAACTAATAGTAACACTAGTAAAAATTCCTTTCTAAAAGCTACTGCGACAAGCACTGCCGGGAGATAACATGCTACCCACCACTCGGGCTGTCCTGCACAGATTTGCAAACGAACGTTCCATACGTACATCATGTAAATTAAGAGTAGAGAACGGTACAACGAATCGTCTTCTTTCCCTAATATTGAAACGGCAAAGCTTGCGCGCTTCGCGCAGGAGGGGAGCAACTGAATTCAGACTAGGATTAAGAGTCGAGAACGCCACGAATCGTCTTCTTTCTCTAATAATTTAATGAAACGTGAAAGCTTCCGCGCTTTGCGCGGGATGGGTGAAAATTATTTCAGACAAGAATTAAGAGTAATAATGTATTGAAATTTGAAACGTCGAACGGGAGGGGTGGAGAAACTGAGTTCAGATAAGGATTAAGCTCGAGTCGAGAACGGTACAATAAATCATCTTCTCTCTAATAATTAAATGAAACGTCGTAGCTTCTGCGCTTCGCGCCGAAAGGGCGAAAGAAGAAGAGTCAAGAACGATACAACGGATCGTCTTCTTTCTCTAATATTTGAATAACTTAATAACTTCTAACCAATCAGAATGCCTCGGGTTTTTTTTCCAGGAAGTGCCGGTGGACATTAATGCGCCAAATGTGGTTCTCAAATTGCGTAAAGATCCCTATACTCTTGGAAGGGTAGGACAAAGCAATTTTACGTCATATTACTCCAGGAAGTGCCTGAAAATGCGTCTAATGTGGTTCTAAAAATTGCAATGCTTCATACTCTGGGAGGTGGTCAGAACCACCTTCCATCCCCATCCCAGCTTGGTCGCCCCGCTTCCTCGCCTCTAATTAAAGCCTCGCTCTGTCGCTTCATCATGTTATATATATTTCACCCCATGTCATTTTTTGCCCCCCCCCCGGTAAGAAATTTCTGGATCTGGCACTAATGCCCCTAGACCCTACTTTGAAAAACGTTCAGCGGGGCTTGCATATAAGAGTGGGGGTGATGCAGATTTTTTTTTGTCAGCCCCCCCCCCCAAAAAAAAAAAAATGTTTTTGCTCATTACGCCACTGTTTATGAGAATGGGAAATGGGCATTTGTCGACGGAAAAGAGGCACCCCTCAGATTTTGTGAAATAAAAAGGGGCATTTATAAGGAAAAAAAAAGAGATATGTTCCTTATAAGAAAGGAATAGGGGCACGTATCATTGTTGAAAGGGTAATTATCAGAGGTGAAAAGGGGCACTTATGAGAATGAAAAAGGGCACTAATAATAAAGGAAAAATTGTTGAAAGAAAAGGGGCACCGATCACGAAAAGTGGTAATTTTGAGAAGGTGATGGGGCACTTATAAGAAGGAAAAGGGGCACGTGGGGGGGGGGGGGGGGTAGTGAGCACTTTTTTTTTTTGCTCCCGAAAATTTCAAAATCGCGCCGGTCGAAAAGTCGCTCATGGGGGGGGGGGGGGGGGGGGGTAGGGAGCACATTTTTTTTTGGGGGGGGGGGGCCGGCCCTTCAAAATTTGAAAATTTGCAACCCCCCCCCCCTTGAGCGCCAGGGGTTGCAGTGGCCTACTCTATCTATACAACGTGGTCTGCAAGTAGACTGGGAATGGTGCACAAGATAGTCAATGGTCTCTCTGATTTTCCCGATTTTCCTTCAACAAATCACGAACACAGAAGCACCATGACATGGCCCTCCAGATGGCCCTCCAGATGCATGCATCAAGCCAGACGTGGCATAGACAAGTTTGCATTTGCCCAACGCTCTGTCCCAGAATTAATGGAACTGCCTTCCAGCTAATGAAATGCATGCCGACAGTCCAGGAACTACTCATGAGGCATCTAATGCTCTTATCCCACTCAAAAATCATTTGTCTTCCTCGTCTACCTGTCAGGGGCGGATCTAGCTTTTTGCTAAGGGGGGGGGGTTTGACCAAAATAATGACGATGCGGAGCATCGTCCACGAGCCGCGAAGCGGCGAGCCGATTTTTTTGGGGGGTGTTTATTAAACCCCGTAAGTGATGTTTTCCTGGCATCTATTAACGCAATGGAGACCATAAAAAGCAGTGCATGATAACGTCTTTTTAAATCAAGTAACAGTTTAATACACAGTTATATCCAGAGTTATCATGTGTTTGGTTAAGTTACCAGATGAGTTGAATATCTTCTCACAATATTTGCACTTGAAAGGGTTTCTCTCCAGCGTGCGTTCTTTTTTCTTTCTTTTTTTCTCTCCTTTTTTTTTTTTTTTTTTTTTTTTTTTTTTTTTTTTTTTTTTGGGCCGCCCAAGGGGGGGTTTAAACCCCCTAAACCCCCCCCCCGTAGATCCGCGCCTGCCTGTAATCTTTAGTTCATCTTCATGATAAGCTTGAAGATTACCAGAAGAAGAAGAAGAAAAAGAAGAGAAGAAACATCGAG